AGAAGAGTAAATATCTTTCTATATTCACGATTAACAAATTGTCGTCAAAGACAAATGTAACCATATTAAATTTTCCCAGAATCATTTGAGGATGTGTGAGTTTAAAGTGTTTGTTGTTTAACGCCAAACAATATGGCGAGGGTTTGTAAATACTTCAGTCTGGACCAGACAATCCAGTGATTGATATGATCGATATACGCAACTAGGATACGATGGTCACTGGTCACTGCGCTTTGTCGTCTCTTCCGACAAGTGTTGGCTGGTTGAATGCTTAACGCCCCACTCAGCAATATTCCAGCTATATGACGTCAGTCTGTAAATAATCGAGTCTGGACCAGACAATCCAGTGACCAACAGCATGAGCATCCATCCACGCAATTGGGATACGATAACATGTGTCAACCAATTCAGCGAGCTCGACCACCCAATCCCGTTAGTCGCCTTTTACGACAAGCATGGGTTACTGAAGACAAATTCTAACCCGGATATTCACAGAAACAAGTGTAGGTAGATGGGACCTATACTTGGCATCTCCACGTGATAATGTTGACACCCACTGATTAGTACTAGTGCTCCTGTGCCGCGTCTAGACCAGGGACAACATTCGTCACCACTCGCCCCTTTCCGTTACGTCGGTATTCGGCTTGTCCCGGAATAACAAGAGTGGTTCACGAATGGGGACGCCAATGGTTGTTAGAAGGAGCATGCGTGTGTGTTGACATTCAACAGTATGGCCATTTGATTTACATTTTAACTCAACTTGAACAACAAACATGGGTTCCAGCGCTGGACTCAGTACACCCAATTAAGTAACGATTTTATGACGTTTTCAAAATCATGTTTTCATGAGTATATTTTTTCTTGTAAGGGTGTACGGCATTGCCGATGCATATTTAGAAATACGTACTGCCATACGTTCTAAATGTAGCAATATATTGAGGAGAGTTTATATGTACAAAAAACACGGTGATGGAACTGTTAGCACCATTATATAAGCCAAGATGATGTTGAAAGAAGCGCTCCACTACCTTTAAAAGTCAGCCATGGAGTGAGTGAGGTTAGTTTTACAATAGTAATATTCCAGCAATGTCATGGCGGGGGACACACATTGTGCCCATATGGGAAATCGAACCCGGGTCTTCGGTGTGACGAGCGGACGCTTTAACCACTAGGCTACCCCACTGCCACCTGTTACCTATGGAGACAGTTACAGTAACATGCTCTCAACTATGCGTGGAATGTAATAACACGTGCAAACCCGTTCGCCCAGACGCTTCATCGGATCTGTAATCAAATATTGAAGACCAAGCACTTCCTTTCTAATCAATTAGATTCAATGCTAGTGCGGTTTTAATCGCGTCCTAGCGTGAAGCGTAACCCTGGTGTCTCGTTTTCAACGTCCTTGACGTCTTAATTGGGACTACTCCATTAACAAAAACGCACGCTGCAACATCAAGGTGTACATACCGTTGCACATAACGTGCATTGCAGCATGGCGAGGCAGGCGAATAGTGCATTTTGTATCGCGCAGGTGTATCGTGTTTGACGATTGAACGTAACGCTTGGAATGGATGCTGGATATTGACAATCGAATCTTTTTATATCGCTTAAATGATTCAATCAGTGATATCAGCTGAAATGTTTCTCGTGAGATTCATTATCAATTGTTTATATGAAATCCGAGTCGCATCATCTCAGTGCGACTTCATTCCTTCCAACGTCGTCATATGAGAGAAATATTCTCAAGCACGACGTAAAACCCAATTTCACCTCACCTCACCTCATTCCTTCCAAACAATAGTAGTAGTAGTAGTAGTAGTAGTAGTAGTAGTCGGGCGAGAGTTTCTCATTGAGTTTGGACAAATAAAGTGGTTGATGTTGTAAGCTGTCTCCCACGCCGTCGGGGTAATATGAAATACAATGAACCAAGTCATTGGGTCACTGTCCTCGGTGGAAGTTGTCTTAACGGTATCAGCAATACCGACAGTCTGTGCCGCAGGGCGTCAACCCCTCTCCGACATCGGTTGACCCCCTTTCACCGTGTCTCCCCCAGCTGACATGAAGCAGGTACATGGGAGAGATTTTCACCTGTCTAACATCCCCCCTCCCCCACCCACCATCCGTCCTCTGGGACACCTACACACAATGTCTGTTATATGACAACGAACTTCAGTCCGTCAGTCCGTCTCGCTTCCCCGTCAAATAACACGACGGTGTGGACACAGGTCAGCCCTCTCGTGGACCCTCGCTGAGGAGAAGGGGGACAGGCCATCGGGCACCTGTCAGGAACGCTTGTTATTCCAATACTATCCCGTCTTCCTGTGTGAAACCTGGGTAAAGTGTGCCCTGACACTGGGGGACATTAAACTTCACATTTTATACATTGCTGGGCGGAAACAATCAACATCAGGAACACAAATACAGCGCCATTCAAATGTAGCAGCCGGGGTCTTTCTATAAGTGTAGAACCAATGTGGTTGGTTCTACTAAGTAATTACCGATATTTTGATAGTTATGATACTGTGCAGATAGGGAATTTCATATTGACGCAGTTAGGTCACGTGTTATATGTGGTCCTCCAGTCACCTGGTATCTCTCGATGTTTTCCTTAATTGTTATCTAGTCCTACATACATTTACTTTCCTTGAAGTTCGAACACGATTGAGACGTTTTAAGGACATATTTTTCAGAAATAATAAAATGGGTTGTGTTTTATATTAGATGATGACGTAGGTTTGTGTTCGCAAACGTTATTCTCTGTCTCTTTAACATTTTATGTTGTTTTCCCACGCTAGAATGTCAAAACAGTCACAGCAATACACGACACACTTAAACCACCGGTATCCACTCCACCCTCTACATTCTCCACTTTCCGTTACTCAGAATATTGCAGAATCAGCAGAAATTGTACCAACGAAAGGAAACAAGTTATAAACAATTTAACAGATACCAGTATCAATGCCATCGATTGATATAACCCCAGCTAGTGTTGTGCCAGGTCAGAGAATATCCCCACAGATTGGAACGTACAGCAGCGACTGGATTTAACCAGACCTGTCAAACTTGACAACAGCGCGCTAGTGGCCAGTTGTAAACACCACTGTACCGAGCTCCGTACAGGGGCACGTACGGCACATGGACGAGTTGACGAGGGGCAAATGTGTCAACACTCGGAATGCAAATGTCGAAGAGACACTCTTCTGTCACGTTCGCGTTGTTATAGGGAAGGCAGATGTAGAAGTCTCTGCACTGAGTGTTTTTTAGTTCTTGTACAAATTCACCAATATCAACGAGTGTTCATTGTTCTTAAGGCCGCACACAGCAATATTCCAGCACTGTAAACAACCGAATGGTATCAGGACCCGACAATACAGTGATTGACATCATGAGCATCGGTCCTCACAGCTGGAATATGATGACATGCATCAGCCAGGTCAGCGAGACTGACCACCCGATCTCTAAGGACCAGCATGGGTTGACCAGTTCTAAACCGGATCCTCACACAAAACTTGGAAATATATGTTTCGCAAATGCAACATAGAATGATTCATTCATAATTTCACAAATTTCAGTTATAATCAAAACAGAAAGTACCTATATCAAACGAAAGAAGTTATTGTTCTTTTATGAATGTGTTGTAGGAAAAATCAATCCTTTCCTCGAGAAATCGCCCAAAGCGGAGTATAAGCCAGTAAGAGTTACCTCCCTTCCCTTGGTCACGAACTTGACCATATGTAACTACTCGTGTCATTCCGGCAAGTCGGATGGCGTCTCGTACCCATCCCATGGCCCTTAGCTCAAAGTTTATGTTTATATTGCATAGTTAGTGAAGTTTCGAAGTTAGACGGTGCCGCCATTTTCATGCTTCGAAATGCCGCGGCGTTTTACTAGTAACGCGCGATTTGATTGGTTTGCCACGATTCTTGGCAATAATGGCGTACGATAGGGGTACGAGGCTTCTTGTAGATCACGGAAAGAGGCGAGTAGTTACGAATGGAACTTGGTTTGTTTCTCTTCAAAAGGCCATGACCGTTTCGCAAAACTGACGTGCCAGGATTGGCAGATATTTTACGGCAGTGGAACTTGTATGGTGCACAGTTAACCCTTGCTATCAGGTTGGGTGGAGCTTGTATGTTACACAGTTAACCCTTGCTATCAGGTTGGGTGGAACTGGTATGGTGCACAGTTAACTCTTGCTATCAGGTTGGGTGGAGCTTGTATGTTACACAGTTAACCCTTGCTATCAGGTTGGGTGGAACTGGTATGGTGCACAGTTAACTCTTGCTATCAGGTTGGGTGGAACTGGTATGGTGCACAATAAACCCTTGCTATCAGGTTGGATGGAACTTGTATGGTGCACAGTTAACCCTTGCAATCAGGTTGGGTGGAACTTGAATGTTGCACAGTTAACCCTTGCTATCAGGTTGTGTGGTATTTGTATGTTGCACAGTTAACCCTTGCTATCAGGTTGGGTGGAACTTGAATGTTGCACAGTTAACCCTTGCTATCAAGTTGGAGGTACTTGTATGTTGCACAGTTAACCCTTGCTATCAGGTCGGGTGGTACTTGTATGTTGCACAGTTAACCCTTGCTATCAGGTTGGGTGTACCTCGTATGTATGTGTACGCTGTCGTACTGAGCTCAGTTCAATTCGAGGGTACGCATGGCACATAGGTGTGAGGCAAGTTGCTATGCACCGTTCGATAAACTCCACCGAACTAGACAGTTGTGGTACACAGATTTGGTAAGGTTTTACCTTCAACAGCAGAATGTGTTCCCAATGCTAATAATCTACTTAGATGCAGATCGGATTGTTTAACCTGAATGCAGCGGAGCCTGGTTATAACACCAACCTGGTTATAACGACCAAGATGGCCGGTACGGATTTCCCACAATTACAATTCCTTGGTTATGGCGCCAAAACCTTTCACTTAACAAATGTTCCAGTTCCTTGTCTGTGACATCCACACGCACTCACTAACACACATACTGGTAATTATGGTGTAAAAACATGTTTATTATGAAGAAAAAATAAACAAATATTGACGTAATGTTTACAAATAAACAACAAAATCATAATAAATCTGTGAAAGTACGTAAAGTCATTCGGGTGAATTATTCAAACTTGGCGTGCCTAACGTATCACAGTCTGCAGTCAGTCACAGCTCGTGGCCAATAGTTGCACATGCGGCATAACACAACACTCACTCACTCACATGAAGTTGATTTCAATATTAACGTAATTTTGAAATTCACACAGCCACACTTGAGTGAACCCTGAACAACTATATCAAGTTTGTCCGTCACAGGAAGTTACATACAGGATGATCAACATCCAGAGTGACCCCGGTAGAGCTATGGACTTCATCTTCTGTCCCAGATCCCGGCAGAGTTGATCCCTTCATAGGTCATATACTTGTCCACTGTGAAGTTTGGATTGCTTTGCTATATTTGACATTGTGGAGCGACCACATTCATCATCGACCACTCTTTTGATAGTCTTTCACAAGTCGTGACATTTCCTGAACCGACTCTAACAATCCTTCTCCATTTGGTGCGCATGCGCCGTGTATGTACCATTTCCGGTTTTTGAGGTCACCCATGTCAAGTTCCTCGACAACCTCAGAGGGCTTGAGGGCACCTGAGTCCAGAAACACAAATATATATATTTATATATACATACACATTAAAAAATACATACTTCCACTAACTAGACTCGATAATGTTGTGAGTAATGCAAAGGTTAATACATAAAGAAATATTTTCCTTTTCCTCAGTGCTGAATGAAGTCATTTGGCAGTATAAAATTCACCTTTTGTTTGATACACGAATCACTTTTGATATAATAGTCAATGGCTATCAGGAGCAATTGGCAGCAGGGTGGCCCAGTGGTGAACGTGCTAGCTCTTCACAGATGACCCTGGTTTGATTTCCTCAAACACCCCGGCCCCTCCAACCGTACAGTATGCTAGCATATGGCAGGAATGTGACTTATGCCAGTACAAAAACCAACATGTTATGTATCTACCTGTCGGTAAAACCATTGGTAAGTTCCCCCAACGCCCTGCTTTAATTTCCCCATAACAGTGTCACTGTGCATAGTATCAACCACTAGCTTGCCTGCTGTTGGTCTGATTCTACATTGCCGGTCGTCATGGACTAGTCTGACACACTCACCTGGCAAATCCTGCTTGTTAGCTATCACCACTACCGGCACCCCCGCCATCTCCGGCGAACTGCAGATCCCATGGAGCTCCGACCTGGCTTCCTTCATGCGCAGACGATCTGCGCTGTCCACCACGTAGATCAGACCTGGGGAGTATTGAAGTATTGACTTCAACATATATGGAGTATGTGGAGGTAAAACGTAAAACTCGATGTTCACATTGTGTGAATCATAATAACCAACAATAATACCTTCACAGACTGCTTACCTAACGTTCAACAGAAATTAAGGGTGGGTATTGCAGAGAATATTCATATTGCGATATATTGCGATGCGAAAGCATGTATTCCGATATGCATTGCAATATATTGCATGAAGTGTTTTTAAACAAAAAACTACTCATAATCGAGTTACTGCTTGATTTATAGAGCACAAACACAACCAAATCACTATGCTTGATTAAGCTTTAATAACTTTTTTTTTAATCATGATAAAATAAAAATGTGAAAAATATTTGGCACAAATGAAACAAGGAAATATCCAAACATTTCCGAGTGTTACGACGTTTTCCGAATACATGTCAAAATACCGGTTTTCGATCAGCGTATCGCAATACGTATCGTTTTCATGTCTGAACCGGTAAATACCGGTCAACCGGTTATATTCCGCAGCCCTAACAGAAACCCAATGTAGACTATAATAGGAAGTCGGTGACATCGTTAACATCATTGATGCCACACATACTCTTTCTTTTTGTCAGATAATCAGGTACAGTCAGTGAATGGGCGCAGGCCTATTGGGGAACATGTTATAAACAATATTTGCTTGGTTAATCTATGAAAATCCACTGTTTCATTCACGGTATATCTAAAAGGCATTCAAGTGTTGTCATATTTATATTTATATAATGGAAGTTGGAATTGCTATTGGTGCAAGGGAAGGCGTTATTTATTTCGTGTTCCTAACCTGAATCGTAGGTATTGATATGGGTATTGTCTATTGGTGTTGTATAACATGTGTTGGTCAACCACTGCTCTGATGTCAACGTCGATCCACACAGTCGGGGTATGACCACACGCCAGAACAGCCAGGCTACAGCTGAGGGCCCAGCGACCGACTGTCTCCCGTCAAGGTTTACTCAGCCATTTTCTGATATCTACCCCATTTTGTCGGCCATAACAACAGACTGGTGTACGTACTGTGCACCGTGGGTTATTCTGTGTGAAGAGTATGACTCCCATTTTAATTTATGATATTGTTGGGTATATATTGACCTACCTTGTGTGTTGGGGTAGTAGTGTTGGGTATATGTTGACCTACCTTGTGTGTTGGGGTAGTAGCATTGGGTCTATGCTGACCGACCTTGTGTGTTGGGGTAGTAGTGTTGGGTATATGTTGACCTACCTTGTGTGTTGGGGTAGTAGTGTTGGGTATATGTTGACCTACCTTGTGTGTTGGGGTAGTAGTGTTGGGTATATGTTGACCTACCTTGTGTGTTGGGGTAGTAGTGTTGGGTATATGTTGACCTACCTTGTGTGTTGGGGTAGTAGTGTTGGGTATATGTTGACCTACCTTGTGTGTTGAGGGTAGTAGTGTTGGGTATATGCTGACCTACCTTGTGTGTTGAGGTAGTAGCATTGTGAATATCCTGACCTACCTTGTATGTTGGGGTAGTAGCATTGTGAATATGTTGACCTACCTTGTGTGTTGAGGTAGTAGCATTGTGAATATGTTGACCTACCTTGTGTGTTGGGGTAGTAGTGTTGGGTATATGTTGACCTACCTTGTGTGTTGGGGTAGTAGCATTGTGAATATGTTGACCTACCTTGTGTGTTGAGGTAGTAGCATTGTGAATATGTTGACCTACCTTGTGTGTTGGGGTAGTAGCATTGTGAATATGTTGACCTACCTTGTGTGTTGAGGTAGTAGCATTGTGAATATGTTGACCTACCTTGTGTGTTGGGGTAGTAGTGTTGGGTATATGTTGACCTACCTTGTGTGTTGGGGTAGTAGTGTTGGGTATATGTTGACCTACCTTGTGTGTTGAGGTAGTAGCATTGTGAATATGTTGACCTACCTTGTGTGTTGGGGTAGTAGTGTTGGGTATATGTTGACCTACCTTGTATGTTGAGGTAGTAGTGTTGGGTATATGTTGACCTACCTTGTGTGTTGGGGTAGTAGTGTTGGGTATATGTTGACCTACCTTGTGTGTTGAGGTAGTAGTGTTAGGTATATGTTGACCTACCTTGTGTGTTGAGGTAGTACCTATGTGACCTACCTTTTGTGTTGAGGTAGTAGTGTTGGGTATATGTTGACCTACCTTGTGTGTGTTGAGGTAGTAGTGTTGGGTATATGTTGGGTATATGTTGACCTACCTTGGTGTTGGGGTAGTAGCATTGGGTATATGTTGACCTACCTTGTGTGTTGAGGTAGTAGTGTTGGGTATATGTTGACCTACCTTGTGTGTTGAGGTAGTAGCATTGTGAATATGTTGACCTACCTTGTGTGTTGGGGTAGTAGTGTTGGGTATATGTTGACCTACCTTGTGTGTTGGGGTAGTAGTGTTGGGTATATGTTGACCTACCTTGTGTGTTGAGGTAGTAGTGTTGGGTATATGTTGACCTACCTTGTGGTTGAGTAGTAGCATTGTGAATATCCTGACCTACCTTGTATGTTGGGGTAGTAGCATTGTGAATATGTTGACCTACCTTGTGTGTTGAGGTAGTAGCATTGTGAATATGTTGACCTACCTTGTGTGTTGGGGTAGTAGTGTTGGGTATATGTTGACCTACCTTGTGTGTTGGGGTAGTAGCATTGTGAATATGTTGACCTACCTTGTGTGTTGAGGTAGTAGCATTGTGAATATGTTGACCTACCTTGTGTGTTGGGGTAGTAGCATTGTGAATATGTTGACCTACCTTGTGTGTTGAGGTAGTAGCATTGTGAATATGTTGACCTACCTTGTGTGTTGGGGCATATGTTGTGTTGTGGTAGTAGTTGGGTATATGTTGACCTACCTTGTGTGTTGGGGTAGTAGTGTTGGGTATATGTTGACCTACCTTGTGTGTTGAGGTAGTAGCATTGTGAATATGTTGACCTACCTTGTGTGTTGGGGTAGTAGCATTGTGAATATGTTGACCTACCTTGTGTGTTGAGGTAGTAGCATTGTGAATATGTTGACCTACCTTGTGTGTTGGGGTAGTAGTGTTGGGAATATGTTGACCTACCTTGTGTGTTGGGGTAGTAGCATTGTGAATATGTTGACCTACCTTGTGTGTTGGGGTAGTAGCATTGTGAATATGTTGACCTACCTTGTGTGTTGGGGTAGTAGCATTGTGAATATGTTGACCTACCTTGTGTGTTGAGGTAGTAGCATTGTGAATATGTTGACCTACCTTGTGTGTTGGGGTAGTAGTGTTGGGTATATGTTGACCTACCTTGTGTTGTAGTAGTGTTGGGTATATGTTGACCTACCTTGTGTGTTGGGGTAGTAGTGTTGGGTATATGTTGACCTACCTTGTGTGTTGAGGTAGTAGCATTGTGAATATGTTGACCTACCTTGTGTGTTGAGGTAGTAGTAGTGTTGGGTATATGTTGACCTACCTTGTGTGTTGAGGTAGTAGTGTTGGGTATATGTTGACCTACCTTGTGTGTTGGGGTAGTAGTGTTGGGTATATGTTGACCTACCTTGTGTGTTGGGGTAGTAGCATTGGGTATATGTTGACCTACCTTGTGTGTTGGGGTAGTAGTGTTGGGTATATGTTGACCTACCTTGTGTGTTGGGGTAGTAGTGTTGGGTATATGTTGACCTACCTTGTGTGTTGGGTAGTAGTAGTGTTGGGTATATGTTGACCTACCTTGTGTGTTGGGGTAGTAGTGTTGTGTATATGTTGACCTACCTTGTGTGTTGAGGTAGTAGTGTTGAGTATATGCTGACCTACCTTGTGTGTTGAGGTAGTAGCATTGTGAATATCCTGACCTACCTTGTATGTTGGGGTAGTAGCATTGTGAATATGTTGACCTACCTTGAGTGTTGAGGTAGTAGTAGCATTGTGAATATGTTGACCTACCTTGTGTGTTGGGGTAGTAGTGTTGGGTATATGTTGACCTACCATTGTGTGTTGGGTAGTAGCATTGTGAATATCTTGACCTACCTTGTGTGTTGAGGTAGTAGCATTGTGAATATGTTGACCTACCTTGTGTGTTGGGGTAGTAGTGTTGTGAATATGTTGACCTACCTTGTGTGTTGGGGTAGTAGTGTTGTGAATATGTTGACCTACCTTGTGTGTTGGGGTAGTAGTGTTGGGTATATGTTGACCTACCTTGTGTGTTGGGGTAGTAGTGTTGGGTATATGTTGACCTACCTTGTTGAGGTAGTAGTGTTGGGTATATGTTGACCTACCTTGTGTGTTGAGGTAGTAGCATTGTGAATATGTTGACCTACCTTGTGTGTTGGGGTAGTAGCATTGTGAATATGTTGACCTACCTTGTGTGTTGAGGTAGTAGCATTGTGAATATGTTGACCTACCTTGTGTGTTGGGGTAGTAGTGTTGGGTATATGTTGACCTACCTTGTGTGTTGGGGTAGTAGTGTTGGGTATATGTTGACCTACCTTGTGTGTTGGGGTAGTAGTGTTGGGTATATGTTGACCTACCTTGTGTGTTGGGGTAGTAGTGTTGGGTATATGTTGACCTACCTTGTGTGTTGGGGTAGTAGTGTTGGGTATATGTTGACCCTACCTTGTGTGTTGGGGTAGTAGTGTTGGGTATATGTTGACCTACCTTGTGTGTTGGGGTAGTAGTGTTGGGTATATGTTGACCTACCTTGTGTGTTGAGGTAGTAGTGTTGGGTATATGTTGACCTACCTTGTGTGTTGAGGTAGTAGCATTGTGAATATGTTGACCTACCTTGTGTGTTGGGGTAGTAGCATTGTGAATATGTTGACCTACCTTGTGTGTTGAGGTAGTAGCATTGTGAATATGTTGACCTACCTTGTGTGTTGGGGTAGTAGTGTTGGGTATATGTTGACCTACCTTGTGTGTTGGGGTAGTAGCATTGTGAATATGTTGACCTACCTTGTGTGTTGAGGTAGTAGCATTGTGAATATGTTGACCTACCTTGTGTGTTGGGGTAGTAGCATTGTGAA